CATATTTCCTCTACAGAAATATGCATTTTTCACAAATGTTCACCCAAATAACCACATTCAAAAGTATGGACCATCTTTATGGGTACTTAATAACTATTTTTAGTCTTTTTATGATATGTTATCAAATATGTTGTACAAAATTACAAAAAAACCACTCACATTGCCCTGCCCATACACATCCATCCATTATCTTCTGCTTATCCAGGGTCAGGCTGCGTGGGCAGCAGTCTAACCAGAAAGGCCCAGATATCCCTTTCCCCCATCTCCTCCTGGGGAATCCCAAGGCTGTTCCTGGGAAGGTTAGAGATCACAGTCTGAAGAAGCCAATAGGACCACATCATCTGCAAAAGTGTGATCATGGGCCAACAATCCCTGCAACACCTTGGCTGCACCTAGAAACTCTGTCCAGGTTTCACTGTCATCACATGAGCTTTGAAGTACCCCAGCAGAACATTGTACCATAATGGAATATCAAGGCTATTTAGATGGATGAAGTGCAAAACAAACTGGGTAAAAATTAGCACATAGATTACTTTTTTAATTTTTAAAGTGCATAAAGTTATGAATGATGTTCATACAAATAACACTGTAATTTTTAATTGGCTAAATTCCTACAGTATTTTGGTTATATTTGTGTTTTATGTAAATAGATTGTGGTGTGAGAGCAACAGGTGGATATGATAAATGTGCCTTTTTATCCAACCTAAAATGTGCAATGCATGGAAAATTAAATAAATCTTTTCTTTTTCAAGTTTACAATAAATATTTATTCTTGCTTTTGCATGACAATATCAAATTACTTAGTTTGTCTGCAATAGCCTCAAGCCTCAACAAACTTTTATTTAACTAATAAAAATACATACATTTTTTGTATTTGTTGATGATGTTGTAATGACTTAGTTTAAGCAAGAAAAACATCACAAATATTTTTTCCTATTTAAAACCACATTGCTTTACACTGTAAATAGAAAAACTGTCATCACAATTTATTTCTGTTTTCTAAACTTTTACAGTGCTGTCAGTTTCATAATAGATGATTATTCTCAGAGGACATTTGTCAAGATTCTATGAGTAAAGCAAAATTATCAATGGTGTAAATGTTTTTAAAATAGAATTTACATGAACCTCTGTTAAATATATGGAGATTTGAGAAGGCAGCTAAACCATAAGTTAATTGTTTGTCAGTCCTGTCAGAATACAACTCTCCAAGCTGAGGTCTTTCAGAGAGCCTTCTATAACAGTAAAATTATATTAATTGATCATAACTTTGACTTTTTCATAGCTTTTATTTGTAACTTCTAAAAGATTTTGGAAAATTTTTCAAAACGTCACGAGGTGGTGTGGATGTGGGCTAAACAGGTTGAGGAGCCAGGCAGGTGAGACAACAAACAAACTTTGTCGGACTAAAACAAACAATGTAACTAAAGCTCAGAAATAAATAAATGTAAAAAACAGACTAAGGATTGAATAAATACCATGAGAACAAAAACTGTATAAATCAGTCCTTCAAACTATTGAAAAAAGAATTATATGAAAACTTCAAATTGGAAAATAAAACAAACTGAATGAATGGAACTAAAGCAACAATGACATTTTTTTTCCTTTTGAAAAAGAAAAACTATATATTGTGGCATGAAATACAGTTTGTAGGATATTGCATTGTGGATAGTTTGTTTGATTGGATCAATGGGAATTCA